GACTTCCACACATGCAATCAAAGGTGTGCGCACTACCTTTGCGAAAGTCAAAATCATCACACACGCATTGAACTTTTTTGTCCTTGATAAGTGCCCCTTCGAAGTGGTTATTGGCTTGGGCGGGTTACAGGCCTCTTGGATAAGCGGCGCATGTCTCCAGTGACTTTTCTCAATGCCATGCAATTCTGAAATTGCAATTCTGCAAAAAATGGTGTCAGCACAAGGAGGATGAACAGTTGTACATAGCCTTTGTTCGCCCTACCCATGTGCCTTCTACTTTTTGCGACAAGTACTACTGCTACTTTGCATGTTGGTTCTACTTTCAATGTATCTACTTCTACCTCTTCTCCATCTACTTCTAGTCCAAATGTTTCTCCTTCAAGTTCTGTTGCTTTGGCTGCTAATTTGCAGCATGATTTGCCTGCACCTGATTTGGATCCTCCGCCTTCGGAAATTCCTGCAAACATCCAAAGCCTTCTCAACCGATTCCCGAAAGTCCTGGCCGGACCAATTCCATGCCTTCGGTCTAGCACCAGATCAAGTTGATAAGAAGGCAGCAATCCTCCAAAGGGTTGTATGTACCGTATGCTCTCCAACGAGTTGGAGGAACTGTGGAGGCAGATCGACGGCATGATCGATAGGGATTGGATTAAGCCTAGTGAATCTGAATTTGGTCCACCCGTGTTGTTCATTCCCAAGAAAGGAGACAAACTCCGAATGTGTATTGATTACCGTGAACTTGAATCAAATCACAAGAAAGAATGTCTATCCTTTGCCACGCATTGATGACTTGCTTGATGCTGCAAGTGGTGCAAGGTCTTCTCCAAGATCGATCTCAAATCTGGTTACCACCAGATTGCAGTCGATTATGAGGACCAGCACAAAACCGCATTCAAGACTCACGGTGGGCTGTACGAATTCACCATTATGCGGTTCGGTCTCACTAATGCGCCGGCCACCTTTCAATGTCTAAGAAGATGCCATCACACAAACTCTCTAACTCCACCTACGAAACTTTATCCAATGTACATGGCATTGAAACACTCGAAGCATTATCTCCATGACTTGGAAATGCAATCAGACCATGCGACGGTCCATTGGAACAAAACCCAACCCATGTTGTCTGATCCACTCAAGCGTTGCCCGTTGATATATTTGACTTCACGCTGCAACATGTGAAATGGAAGTTCAATGTGGTCGCTGATGCACTGTCAAGAACAGATTTTCTTGGTGCACTACTAACCGAGTTTGCTTTGGGCCAGCAGGTACTCCAACTAGTGGTAGACTCCTATGAAACTGATAGAGTTCTCAGTGCAATCATAAAACGTCTCCATGCACAGGATAAAAAGCTGAATGAAGACCTCAGGATGGGTGGAGGGCTGCTATTTCTGAGTAAGAATGGGATTAGAAGACTGTATTGAATCATGACTTTGATTTTCGGAGAACGTCATCACACAGCGGGACGGCAGTTTTGGTGACCAGGTCCGACAGGGGATGTCAATGCATATGTTGAGAACTGTCAGGTTTGTCAAAGAAACAAACGGTTACCTCGAACACAGGCACCTCTAGGCTTGTTGAAGCCTCCCCCCATACCTGAAGAACCTGGCCAATCCCTGACCATGGACTTCATGAACATACTGGTGACCAGCCGAAATGGGAACAAACAGATTCTGGTAATTATTTGGCCAGATTCATACCGCTACCTGCAACTGCTAAAACCGAATTCGCTAACAATTGGATTCGCTAACAATTGGATTCGCTAACAACTGGATTCGCTAACAATTGGATTAAAGACGTTGGATTACCAACAAGCATTGTAAGCGACAGAGATGTTAGGTTCACTGGTGAACAGTGGCAGAACCTCGTTGTGAAACTTGGTTTAGAACTCAAAACGACATTAATCAATCATTTTGGAGGTATTGCGACAATGACCAGGTCCAGATGCATTTCAAATGTTGCACAGTGGAGCGAAGGCGCATAGACTCAGACAAGATTAGTACGTAAAAAAAAAAACAAAAAAAAAAAACAAAACTCAAAGAAAGGAAGGGCCACTTCTTTGTCAGCGGGTTCCATTGAAAGCAGCAGGACAGAAAAAGAAGATAGACACAAACAAGAGCTCCTCTTCTTTCCAACAGACAAAGAGAGAAACAAAAACTCATCCTGTTCTGTTTAGCTTAGAAGAAAGAAAAGCTCCTCTTTCTGTTCATCCATCTCCTCCTCCTCCTTTTCCTCCTCCTCCTCCTACTACTACTGTTTCTCCTCCTAATCCTCCCCCCCCTCCTTTTTCTTCTCCTACTACTGCTCCTGCTGATGCTGCTGCCGTTGCCGTTCCTACGGTCGTCTTTCGGCTTCACTCCAACAGAACGAACGGTCATTAGCGCTGTCTCTAGACTGAAACCTGTGCCAACGACGGCTTTTAAGACACTGCGTTCTATTCGCTGAAACACAGTAGCTCCTCTGCAATAGCCTTCACAATTATGCCCTACTCCATGCCATCTCTCTCTCTCTCTCTCTCTCTCTCTCTCTCTCTCTCTCTCTCTCTCTCTCTCTCTCTCTCTCTCTCTCTCTCTCTCTCCCCAACCCCCCGCCTTCTCCTCCCCTTTCTCTTCTCGCACACCATGCCCCCTGCATGCATGATGAGTCTGTCGACCGCATGGATAATCCCCCCGTAGATAGGCCAGTCTTCTCCTTCACTGTGTGGGTTAGGGCATACTCACACTAGGACATTTTGGCATGAATCTTACCGCCATCACGGTCACATTCCGTCCAAAAAGCGTCCAGTGTGATTGTGCTTTCCTTGTTAAGCTCCTCATCTCTACCATTCCGAAACAAAACAATATAAAAAAACGCACTTCTCCTCACAGAGCGTCACCTCCCTCGTACTCTTTCTCCTCTCCCCACACCCACCTGCTGCTGTTCCTCCTCTGCCACCACCTCTTTTGCCGACCCAGCCTGGACATTTTCCTCAGGATGCATGCGTTTGACTGATGATAGATAAGGACTCACGAGTCGGTACCACTTCCCCCTCCAATAACTCCCTCCCCCTGCCAAACCTCTTCCCCCTCCAGTACCTCCTCCCCCTCCAATACCTCCTTCCCCCTCCATTACCTCCATCCCTCTCCAATACCTCCTCCCCCTCCAATACCTCCATCCCNCTCCAATACCTCCATCCCTCTCCAATACCTCCTCCCCCTCCAATACCTCCATCCCTCTCCAATACCTCCTCCCCCTCCAATACCTCCAATAGGGATCTCAATACATTTAGCAGCCTTGTCCTCACAGTTGTCCTCAGACCTGCTCCCAATACCACCTCCTCATCCTGATATCCTTTTTCTTTTCCTTTTCTTGCCCCGGAATACCTCCTCTTCATGCCCATCTCCTCCCCTTGTGAGGGACGAACAACAGATCGCCATCCCTCGCTCGTTTCGCCCTCACCGCTTCCAAATGCATTAAGGAGAGCATCTCCCCTCTTCCCGCACCCCCGCTTCCAGGCTCCTCCTTGAGCTTTCGCATCGGAGCGCGCGGACTTCAGCAACAGGCGGCGCGCAAAAAGGTTGTTCCGCGCGTCTGCGTCTTCCTGTGCTTGCGCGTGTATGTCCGGATTCGGTTGTGTAGGGGGAGAAAGGGGGGGAAGCGGGCATCCGCATGGGGAGAGCGGGGTAGGAGGAGAAGAGAACAACGAGGAAAATGGAAAGGAAGCAAAGCATAACGAGAAGAAAGGGATGGAGAAGAAAAGAGAGAGAGAGAGAGAAAGAGAGAAGGGAATGTGAAGTCGAGGACAAGGACAAAAACGAGACACGTAAGCTGGATCAAAGAGAAGAAGAAAAGAGCGAGGTATACAAGACCCATTTGAATTGGTGGAGTTGTTGAATTTTAAAATAAAATAAAATAAAAACAGGACTTCCAGAGGTGGGTCCTCATCTACCAAAGACAAAGACCCATTTGCACCCTCGCGTCCAAACTACCGTCCGTTGGGAAAGCGCGCCAAAGAGCATAGACAAATGGAGAAATGGCGGGAGAGAGGAAGGACGCCAGAGAGGATAGACAAATGGAGAACGGGCAGGAAGGAGGAAGAACTCGCGAGAGGACAGAGAGAGGAAGGACGACGAACAGGGAGACAAAGAGTGACGAGGGAATGGGGGAGAGAAAGGGAAGCGGAGGAGCGGGTAAATGAAAGAGGAGGGATAACAAAGGGGGAGAAGAGGAGACCAAAGAATGACCATCTTAACGAGTAAGATCGACGAGCATGAGGAGAAGAGGAGGGAAAAGGGAGGAAGACACCCGTGGAGGAAGAAACACGTAGGAGATATACGTGTATGTACAAGGAGACTCGAGTCATGGACGATCAAGACACTTGGACTACGAAACACGTGGACGATCTGAGATAAGCGGAGCCATGTTTCGATACGAGGAGGGGACACATATCTATACGAGGAGGGCACACGTCTCTGTGCGAGGAGGGGACACGTGTCCGCTGGAAAGAAACAAGTGTCTGTGGGACAGAGACACGTGGAGCGGGTAAGAGAAGCGCAACAGGATGACGCGCTGGAGGAGGATAGAAGGTACGCCGAGAGATTGTAGCATCGAGCGCAGCCGAGAGAGGTTACGAAATCATGGTGCTCGCTTCACAACACGACACTCTACATGCATTTGGACACTTTCTGGACCCGATGCATTCAAGGCGTCCAAATGCACCTGGTCCAGAAGGCGTCCAAATGCACCTGGTCCAGAAGGCGTCCACATATACGTAGAATGCTGTGTAGTGGAGCGAGGCCCATAGGGGCCGAAGTAAGTGGAAGACGAGGAGGAGGAACACATGGCGGGAAAACGGGAGGACCGCGCCAAAGAAACATCAGTATCGCAGACAGACAGACATGTAGGGAGGATTGGCGAGTAGTAAGCCGACAGGAAGAGAGAGAGAGAGAGAGAGAGAGAGAGAGAGAGAGAGAGATGGAGTGACGGAGATAGAAAGCGCGGGGCGGAGACATCGAGCAGCATACCTGACTGACACGTTCCCGCGTTCGGCCTCTTTCCTGCTTTGTCGTTGTCGCACGAGGACTCGTCGCAGGCGGCAACGACTCTGACGTTCTCGTTTGGGTTTCGTCCTTGTCGCTCAATCAGCAGGGACGGTGGCAACGGCTCGTCGCACACCTGGCTGGCTGAGTCGCCCAAGCTGTTCACTCCCCTGATGCGCGAACTACCCCCGAATACAACGCAACGGCACCCTAATCAAGGCGGCATCGGCCCCGGAACACAGCCTGCAAGCACTTGTGATCAGGATGGGAAAGGCGGTGGGTCACCGAAACCGTTGATGCTGTTGGATGCCTGTCGTACGTAGATTGCCAATATTGCAAAACATTGAGATGTACCTACCGGTAGTCCTTAGCTGAAGTAGGTCTATGGCTGTGACGGGGAGTCCCAAATGCCAGGGTCCCAAGACCGGTTCCAAACTGGATTTCTGTTGGCTAGGTTGACGCCGTCCCCGTCCGAGGATAGCCGTTGTGTTGAGGCAGTGTCGTCCACTTAGTATGCAACTGGAAATGTAGTTGTAGGCATAATGGTACAAAGGTCTCTTCAACCACCAGTACCTCGCTCAGCTATCGGCCACGGGCCTTCCCGTATACGCGCCGCAGCCTTAGGGGGGGCGGCCAAGGGAAGGCCCGGTCGTAGCGCGGACCCCGGGCCCCGCTTCTGTAGGGACCACACAGTAGAGAAAAAAAAAAGAAGGAAAAAAAAAATGAAATACACAAACGGAAAAAAAAAACAACAGAAAAACAGCTGAAGTCACGAGAGAGAGAGAGAGAGAGAGAGAGAGAGAGAGAGAGTCTCGTTTCGAAATACGAAATGGGAATGCATCCTCCCGCGATGCGTTCCGGTTTGGTTTCTCGAAACGAGCGAGCGAGAGAGAGAGAGAGAGAGTGTGTGTGTCTCGTCTCTCGAAACGAGAGAGAGAGAGAGAGAGAGGATGAACCCATTTATTTTTCTTATTTCTATTTTTTTTTCGTTTTTTCTCCCCGTTTTTTTCGTCCGCTTCACATGGACGTTCGGGATGCTTGCGCCCGGTAGTCCCAGCCTCGGCACGGATCGGCGTACCAATCGGCCGAGGCTCGGACTCGATAGCTGGGCCAGGTACTGGTGGTTTAAAAAGGTGGGCCGCAGGCCCGCACACCCCTTGGAGCCGCCCAACTCCCTCCATCGTCCCGCAAGTGACGTCGTTGTCTTGTAGGGAACGGTGGAACGAGCGGATAAGCGATGGAAGCTGGAGGCAGAAGCGTTCAACTCCCGAAGTTGAAGGTGGATATGAAGCCGGTATTGAATGTAGCAGCACATTGGGGGAGTATAGACTTGGTCAGCAATGGAGAGGTGGAATGAAAAAGTTCCTTCTTGCTTTGAATGAGTGGTTGGAATAGACTGATGTTGGAAGAGACTGCATGTCTTGCATTGACTTGGACGTGTTATCGTTTATTAGCAATCAGTGGTTTGTCGAAGTGGAGGGTCGGTGTCGAACTTCTGATGTCGAAGGACTCCCGCTGGTGTCTCCATCAACCGTAGATGCGGTTGTTAATTGCTTAAGTGGATGTTTCTGATTGCTTGGAAGAAATGGTGATGGTGATCCGTGTCAAAGTAGCAGAGTACGAACATTCCAAAAGGCTTATCGAGAGTATTTGTTGCAGAGAGGGGTTGTGGAGGCGTTAGTGCGTCCTTTGAGATGGGAGAAACTGATGAAAGTTATATCCAAGAAAAAATGAAGGTGTAGAAAGGATATCCAGAATCGCATGCTTATCGCGATGGCGGAGCGTTCTCGTATTTGTGGGAGAGTTGACACCGATGTGGTGAAGGTTTGAGACTGGAGTATAAAGAGATAAATATTGAGCAAGGGGTTGTGCGGCCGAGATATACAAAATTTGATCGGCAAGGAGGGAGGTTTATGATTGGATTACGAGATCCACGTGGCAAGGAGGAGACCTTCATGGGTTGGCTTCCAATGTTGGGGGAAAGTTATGACCGGTTAGGGAAGGATATATGAAAACGGTATTTATTTTGACCAATGCGAGGCGGGGGTCCAGTGAGCAGTGGCGGTTTTAATAAACGTATAGAAAAGTGGTTTGAGGATTATGAAGGAGAGAGTGATCATGGTTTCCGAATAGGGGAGGTTCAAACAGGAATATAGGAGGGATGGCGTTTAGGGGAGACGATGGGACAGGGAACATGAAACAGTATAGGGATGTTTATGAAATATGGCTGAGGAATTCGAAGAGGGTGAAAGAAAAGGAATGAGGGGGATAATTTAAGACAAAAAAAAGATTGTTGTGAGGCCAAGGATTGCGGGATTGGGGACGTTGAGAGTGACCCTAGAGTTGGGGAGGCAGGAGAATCCGGATTCCAGGATGGTGAAGTGGTGGATAATATTAAGTGAAAGGATGCGTGGATATCAGGAGATGTGTTGAGAAAAAGGTAGTATGTCGGACTAGCGAGTGCCCTAGAGAGGTTGTGATGTAGTGAAGTGGTGGGCGGGAAAGCCCAACGGTAAGGATTAGATGGTAATAAGTTTTAGTCTAGTGAGAGGGCATCAATATGAGATGCTTTGGTGAACCAATTTTGAAAAATGAAGGTTGGACAGACATGATGATAGTCAAAGGCGAATAAATCAATGGCGGGAGTCTCGATTTTGAAGAAAATTTCAATCTTTATGTGGCAGGCGACCCCATAGTCTGTGTTGTCCTCGTTTTTTAGATTAAGTTGGCGATGGTGTTGAGGAATTTGGGTATCCAGACGAGACTGGGAAGAATGTAAAAGATTACTAAAATAGAGGCAATATCTCTTAATCATAGGTTGAAAGATTCGTCAGTGGATTTCATGTGAAGGGTAGTATTGTAGATGTCTGACTGTCTGAGTGAAGTCTGATGGAAGTTGAGTTGAGAAGTCGAGGATAAGTTGAGGTGAGGAAACGAAAAGTCTCAAGTACAACAAAAAATTGTTTATGAGTGGAGGAGGAGTTGAGTAGATATTGAGGTAGACATTGGTTAAGTGAGATAGATTTTGTGAGTAGCGGATGAATAACTCATGCGATTTGGTTGGCCGAAGCATCAATAAAGATGGAGATAGAAGGAGGACGGACGGTCCAGAGTCTTCCTGGAAGATGAGGCAGGTGTAAGATCTACCACACGAGGTCATGAATGAACTTTTATGAGATGTGGACAAGGGGGTCTCAATTAGCAAGAGGGATGGTTTCGTAGGGTGAAGAAATGTACAGGTGAGTGAGCATAAAAGTTTTTTAGAGGGAGGCAAGTTTACCTTCAAGCTTTGCAATTATCCTCATGGAATCATTAGAAGAGGATTGGATGGGATTAAGGATTTTTTGAACCTTATTTTCTGAAACCTCTATTCGCTTGGTGTGAGAGTCTAAGGTAAATCCACCGAAACGAATGCTTTATGATGGTAAGAAAGAGCATTTGTGCAAACTAAGGAAGAAACCAAGGTTGTGGAGTAAGGCAACATAGTTGAATGATTGTCACAAGAGGAGGGGAAATTTATTGTTTGCAAGGGCGGAATCATCGATGTAAGAGGTGGCGAAAACATTACGGAGGCGAACTTCTACCATAACTTCCTACATTATAGTTGTGAAGATCCAACACGCGGAGGAGATGCTAAAACATATGGTTGTAAAGTGATAATTGAGTCCATTCCAGTTACAAGTGATATAGGGGCGAAATTTTGGGTGAACCGAGATGTGGTAGTAGTCACTTTTGATATCAAAACAGATAAAAAAATCTTAAGTTGGAGAGCCAGAAAGGTGAGCAGTGACATCATCAATGATTTATAATGAAAAGGTGAAAAAGTGATAAAGAGGTTGACGAAGTGGACATCGAGAATAAAGTGAGTTTTAGAATAGTTTTTTATTGCAAACACATGGTTGATTACAATGGGATAAAATAAGAGTTTTACGATTCCTGTGGAAAGGAGTTGAGATACAGTTGAGGAGATGAATTTGATATGGTGGGGTGGGTTGTTGTGGGTATGGAGAGTGGTGGAGGGAAGTTAAGTTTGAGGGCACGCTTGAAACGAAAGGCCGAAAAAACAACTTTCACCATGTACTTCAATAATCTTTGAAGTTGAAATACGAGAGATACCATTGAACTGGAGTCTGACACCATGATGGATCTATTGCAAGACAGAGTGGGAAAAACATCTAGAGGAAAATGAGAGTGAGAGAGACCAATTTGAGAAGTGTTGCGAGGGGGAAGCGACAAAGAAGTTATCCGAATTCCTTAGCCATGAGGCATATTCCTAAAGAGCGAAGGTGGCAAGGCGAAGATCAACAATTGAAGGAGGAGTTTGAAAATTGAAGATGATTATTGAACCTGAAGAGCGAAGGTGGCAAAGCGAAGATCAACAATTGAAGGAGGAGTTTGGAGATTAGAGATGATTGTTGGAACAAAGAGAATTGAAAAAAGCGATGTGGTCATCCTTCTTACGATAAGATGAAGATTCCGATTTCGGAATTCCCAATCTGCAAGGATAAACAAGATAGTAGATAAGCCCCTCAATCCGAACAACGTGGACCTATTGACAGTCCAGGGGCAATAATTGAATAAGTCGGGCGCCGACCCTTTGCTTACCTGCGGTTGTCGCGCCTGACGAGACATTTGCAATAATTATATTCAGACTTCATGATAGTCACGACTTTGTCCATACCTTGATACATAACTTTGTTGAGGAGATGCTTTACATTCTTGGTGATAAGTGGTTCGACACAATCCTTAGCTATTGAGGCCACGCTCGCACCGAAGTCAGAAGTCATTGCCTTGTCGATGGGATAATAAGAATAATTCATATTGATAGCAAGGAGACAGATATAAGCTCCAATCTGCGAATAATAGCAGAGAGAGACAAACATTATCTTTCAGGTTGACAACTCTTCATACACGGGTTGTGACTTGCCATCGAGCTTTTGTTGAATGCTGCCCATTTCTGATTGAAGTTTCTAATAAAGCTGGTTCAAAGCCATGTTTTCTTTTCGCTTCTCAAGAAGTTGATTCTTGAGTTGCTCGATGTAGAGGCGACTTTCTTTCAACTTGAGCGCCATTTGCTGCTTGAGTTGCTAAAATGCCTCAATGGTAGCTTGGGGAAATTGTGCAGAAGATGATGAACGTGTATCTAATGGTGGGAAAGGAAGATGGGGTGAAAGTATGTTG